CGGCATAAAAGTTGCAAATTAGGCTACAAATGTTGACAAGGCGATTAATCAAAGTGCAAGAGGCAGCGTCGCAAATGCAGCAAAACTAATTCGATAGAGACAGAGAGAGACAGTGCGAGAGAGTGAGAAAGTGAGAAAGTGAGAGAGGAGAAGAGACAGAGAGAGATGGATACTGGCACTAGCTGAAAAGGAGTCATGAATCATTCATAAGCACCGTTTATACTCCCCACCCAGAGATTGGAGTCTCTCCTCCAGAAATTACGTTGATTAATGAGTCTCTCACACTCTCACACTCTCTGCTCTCCCTCTCACTCACACTACTCTCACGCTGCTACTCGATTCCCCCATGGCTGGTATCTTTTTGCATTTTGGTCACGCAGACCGCAGCGAGGAATGTCCTTTTGGCCAGGAGATACGATTCCTCCTGCGATTCGTTCAGTAATTGAGTTTGCAAGTGGTAAAAGGAGTGCCTGATGGCAAGCGGTGGGAGATTAAGGGAGTGCAGAGTGAGAAGGGGAAAACTAAAAATCACCAAAAGATAATCCGAATTCCAAATGGCCTCCAAGGAGAAGGAAACCGCCTCATACATGACCGAACGAACTTTTGTCTATGAATCGCATTTCTCTCTCTCTCTCTCTCGCCGTCTATCTTCATCTCCGTTTTGGCCAAATTAAAAGTAAAAAAAAAGGGTCATAAATTCCTCGTGGGATTGTGCCACAGAGTGGGTCATGGGTCATGGGGCATGGGATGGGATACAGGGCCGGCAACTCCTTCTACGATGATTATTTGAATGTGAGAGAGAATCACCGCATGAATGGCATAAATAATAAACCTGCTGCATACAAGCAGGCGCCACACGCATCTGAAAGATACACACGTGCACATAGATACCGCACACACACACACACACACAATGAGAGCGCTTTTGATGATTTTCCATGTGGTGGCTGGTCCGGTCCCTCGTGTCGTATGCGTAATATTTGTTTAATATTAACCCAAACGCATCATCATACACGGCTGCCACAGACACACACACAAGCACTGCCAATGCCACGCCCCAAACGCCCACACATGAGAGAGAGTGAGGGATAGAGGGAGAGTGGGTGAGAGCCTCCCTTTCGCAATGACCCGCAATTTTCCCATGGGACCCGCTTTCGGGGTCGGAGGTTTTTGGCTTTGTTTTTAAAGCCGCTTTTGGTAGCCGAAATCAGGGGATAAACGCGGCGCCAGCAGAGCAGTGGTATGGGGTGGGGAGGTTGAGGGTGGAGGGTGGAGGGGTACAGGGCAGGCCTGAATTTGTGGATCAATAAATTAAATCTCGAACAAAGGAAATCTGTGTTTAAATTTTCAGCCAAAGCGGGCAAAGCCATTGGAAAAGTCAACAGAAAAGTGGGAAAAAAAATCAAATCAAAAATATTTCAAGCAGCAAGCCAAGCCGTGAGATTAATTTTGGTTTTGGGGGCAGCACGGTGACGGTGACGGTGACTTATTTTTGAAGGAGTTGGCAGCGCCAGCAGTAAAATCTGCTGAATATTTAATGCAAGCGCGGCACCATACAATGGATGAGGAGGAGTTGCAGTTGCTGTTGCAATAAATACACAAATAAAACACAGATACGACAAATGCGTACATAGATACACCACACACACACACACACACACACATCGTTCATTGAGCAGCAGAAGTATGCACAAATAAATGCATGTTGAAGCACACAAAAATCAAAGAAAATTTTCAAGTTTATTCCCCCAAATATAAATGCAAATATGACATGCGAAGCGCCCCCGCCCCGCTTTAAGGCGTGGCAGTGGTAACCCCTCCCCAAGTCTTTACACAACCATCCGTTTTCCCATGTCTGAGTATTCATTCAGATATCGTGTCATTCCCCCCAGCCCCAGCCGCAGCCCCAGCACTTTGTGTCCAGGAAATCGACTTGAATTATTTGACTTTCAGCATATCGCCATGTCCTTCACCGAAAACCAATAACCTGGCGATTTCTCAACATGGAAAACACCTCCTGACGCTCGCTTGTTTTCCTAACCTCCCCCCCCCATCAAAAGGGAGCTTCTGCCATCATCGCTTCATCGATATCCTTGCACACACACAAAACACAGAGAGAACTCCTTGCAAATGGCTCCGTTTCGTAGCCATTTGACAAATGCTTAAAACTGACGCATCCTTGGCCTTACTTTCGTCACGAATGCCACACACTTTATTTGCTGGCATTTGGCATATAACAAGGACATGCTTTAGCAGTGGGAGTGGCAGTGGGCGTGGGCGTGGCAGTGGCAGTGGGTGAGTGGTGGGTAGGGCAGGGGCAGGGGCAGGGGCGTAGTAGTTCCTCTCCGCAACCAACCGCAAATGTGTGTTGTGCGTGATTTCCATGCCCACAGCCACGCCCTATTATGCTCGTTTCCACACACCCGCTCGCTCCTATCTCTATAGCCGTGCGCTCCGATCCGTATCCTTATTCCTATTCCCTCATTCTATATCCTCCATGTGCTCCATGTGCCACATCCCTGTTCGCTTTCCCAGCGAAAGGCAAAAGTGTTGAAAGTGGAATTATGTGTGTGTTTGTGTTGACATTATAATAATGGTTTTGGTTTATGTTTATAGTCTGCCGAATCCATTGCCTGCTGCTGCTGCTGCTCGTCGCTGCTCCCTGCAAGTCCTGCCTACCTACAATTCCTAGTTCCATTCCTATTCCTATTCCTAGTCCTATTCCTATTGCTATTCCTTTTCCCTCACATTTCTGTACATATAATATCTGGCTGGGGCTCTCTTTCGAGGCTCCTGAGGATGGGTTCTGGCTGGTGCCCAAGCCGGGGATACCCCTCTCTCTGCCTCACAAGGCTGAGTCCTAGGGCTCGCGCTCCCTTTTCGGGCGTGTTCTCGCCTCCTCCTCTCTGCTTTGATTACTATTCAAATATTGTGACAGTGTGAAAAATAAACAAATTTGCATTATTTATTCTCTCACATTTGTTTGTGTGTGTTTTGTTGTTGTTGGTGTTGTCGTTTTTGGGGCGCTGCATAGTGAGAGGGGGGAATGTGGGCATTGCTTTCCACACCAAAAGCCAAAAGTTTTCGCTGTAATTTTATCCAAAAAAAAACATGCAAAAAAAAAAAAACAAAAAAAATAAATACAAAAAAAAAAGAAGCAACAATTAATACAACAAATTAAAATGCTTTCAAAAATGAAGGGGGTTTTAAATTAAAAAAACAAAAATAATGTTAAATATGCCATGAAAGAGATTACAAAATGAGGAGAAATGTTGCCTACAACGCGTTAGAAAATGGAGGAGAAACAAAAAGGAAAAGTGAAGAAATTTAAGCGATATTTTTTCAGTAGATTAATCCACAGATGGAATGCCAGATGGCAGATACAGATACTTTCTACCAAACGGAATTACTGCAGATTTTTTTATAAATATATTTCTAAAATTATACACCCCTCAACAAGGCTGATCATCTGTGCTCCTAAAAGGGTCCTTGGCCTTCCATTTCCTATCAAAGTTTCATCAAAACTTCAGCGATTTTCGCTCTCACTCTCTCTGTCGCACATGGTATAACTATCCATGAGATACTCCACGCATAAAGCTGCACAGAGCAGCCTACAGCTGATGCCCTCTGTGTTTGTGTCATTAGTTTTGTGGCTTTGCTTTTTTGTAGCTCCTTGTGTATCCATTCTGGAGTGCGAGACGCCGCCACCTCCTGCATAAGTTGTGATTTATGAGCCGTGGCACCTCCGGCCGAAACGCGTCTCCGATGCGCATCGGAGTGTCGGGTGTCTCTCTGGCTGGGCTTCTAGAACCAGAAGTGGGATCCAAGGAGTCGGCCATAAAGTGCAAATGGTGCCCAGGGGAATCATCAAAAGCAGCCAAAAAGCTGCCATAAAACGACAACACGAAACATGTGCGACAGCAGCAGCCACAGCCACATACAGTGCAAAAAAAGGAAAAAAGGGAACGAACCCCGGAAATAGATACCCCATCAAGTGGTCAACATTTGGTGTTGCCAACGCCACGAATGGACACCAATGATGTTGCCTGTGCTGCTGCTGTTGCCTCTGCTGTTTGGTGGCTTCTCTCTGTTTGCTGCCAGATTGGATATCAGTGTAAACATCAAAGTAGTTGGCAAATCACTCACACGTTGCGTTGGCCCCCGAACCAAAAGCAGACCGTTGGCCCCCCGAACCAAAAAGCAGACCTTTGGCCACAGTGAATAGGCCTCGAAGGGCGGAGAATGTTGCAAGGGAGTCAACCGAAAGGGTGTCAGAATGAGTCCAAAGATTGGGCAGAATGAGCCAAAAGGGTGACACCGGAATAAACCCAAAATGAAAGGCCCCACGACGCGCGGACTCGCACTTCGAGAGCACTCCAATGGGGGACATCGATGGCCGCGCCTACAAATTGGCGGCACACTTGAGATTACACTGACCGAAATGCTGCCTTGTGGCTGCAAATACAATCCAATAATCGAGGGCTGAACGACTCGTGCGAGCCTCTGTGCAACTTCATTGGGGGATGTGAGAACGGAAATTGCTTGCTGCTGTACACCATGGCGGATGGAGTAAATAATATAATATACATAACACATAATATCTATAGCCAAAGCAGCAAATAAATTTTATTTATTTTATTATATTATTTTATTTTTTATTTTTATTTATTTATTAATTGTATTTTCATTTTCTATTGTTATTTTATTATTATTTATTATTTTATTATTTATTATTATTGTATTAACTATTTTTGGTTGCCACTAAATGTTGCACAAATGCACAGGGGGTGTAGGAGACATATTTAGTTTCATTTATTCTTTTTATTTTATTTATTTATTTTTATTAATTTTTTTATTTTTATTATTTATTATTTTATTATTTATTATTATTTTATTAATAACTATTTTTGGTTGCCACTAAATGTTGCACAAATGCTCAAGGGGCAGGAGGAGGAGACCTATTTAGTTGCTGTTTTTTTTTTTTTTCAATGATTACTCACCCACAATATTCAAGTAGACGGCATGCCCAATGGGTGGTGTTGTGGAGATCTGGCACTCATAAATGCCCGAATCCTTGCGCTGGGCATAGCGTATGCGCAGGGACCAATCCTCGGCATGTGGCGAATGCTGCGCCTCGAAACGCTGATCCGATGTGTACGTATAGCGGCCGACAGTCAGCAGATGGATGTCACGATGTCGCACCCATGAGACCTGCAAAAACAGACAGAGAGACAGAGAGGGGGGGTTGAAAAACGTGCACTTAGTGACTATGGCTAAAGGCAGGGGGATGATGCTCGGCAAGGGCCAGCTTTTAATTGCGCGCTTAGCTTGTGTCCGTCCCTTAATTGCAGGACGACGCACACAGGACAAACAATTTAAATGCCAAATTGAAATCGAATGTTGGGGTCTCCCACTCCCTCGCCTCCCCTCGCCACCCCTCGCCTTTTGTTTGCGCCCACATTGAGGACGTGCAAAGACCCAACATGAACCCCTGTCCCTGCCCCCTGCCCCCTGCCCCCTGCCCACGTACTTTTGTTATGCTCTTTGAGTTTTATGGCCTGTGGTGTGCCCATGGTCCGAGCAGTCCGAGAGGCTCCTAAATGGTGGCCATAATTACGCGACGCTTAAGCGAGTAACCCAGAGAAAAAGAGGGGGCACCATAGGTGTACCAATGGCCGCACAAGGGGAGTGCAAATGGGTGGCTCAGAGCAGCAAATAAGCAGCCAGAGGTGCACGCTTAGCAGGCCCAAAAAACATTCCAAAAAGGCATTACAAAAAGGGGCAGCGGAGTGCCAACAGCCGGTATTAAAAATTGTGGATTTTCTGGCATTTGACAGCGTCGCATTGCAAGAGGATTTCCGATTGTTGGATTCACTTTAGCAACAAAAAAAAAAAAAGGAAGAGTCTCAAACTCTTAGCAATAAATAAATACAATAAATACGAGTATTTCGAATCAATTTTGATACATTTTTTGTTGCTCAAAAATGCCAACTGCATTGCCTAACTATGGTCTCTATGTGCCCACCCATCACATCAAACGGCTGTCAAAGATCAATTGTAATTTGAGTTTTAAGGAATTTTGTGGTGGGCTGGCACTGCCAGTGCTCTGTTATTATTTTCAATGCGGTTTTGTGCTCTTGTTCATGTATTTGTTGTGGAGGGTCCTGTAATTATCACGCAGCGGAAACTTTATACTCTGTGGGATTTTTGGGGTGGCAATTAGATAATTACGACAACATTATTAGCAAATTAATTTTGATTTTATGCGTGCCAAAATAAGAGAGAGCCAGAGTCCTTCTATATATAGATATATATGTATATCTGTATATTTTGCTGTATATACAGCAGAATATTCCAATTGCAAATTGCGCATTTTTGCAGTCCTTCCTGCTGCTGTTTTTGTGTCTGGCATTCGGCCAAATCATTTGGCAAAGGAAAGTGTGTGTGTGTGTGTGCCCCCATGCCTACACTCTCAACCCAGCATCTATGTGCCATTTATAGAATAGGATATAGGATACCAGGGAACCAAATATACTCGTATTTCGAAAAGAACTGCATTCAAAGCTAATGAAAATTGTATGTCAGCCATGAGGAATACGCAAAATTAACTAAAGCTAAGGAAAACCAAAGCAAAGCTCCAAAAGAGTGAAAGAAAGAGCAACAACAAAAAATACTCATCGAATGCAGAAAATAATATTGTTCGATTATTTATTTAATTGGTTAATTGTGCGGCGAATCACTGGAATTTGGTTGGTGCCATAATATTGTGGAGGATTTGGTTTGGAAATTCCGAGGCTCTACTTTCTCTTATTTGCTTTCTTGTTCCTCTGCTTCGCCCTCTTCTCCTCCTTCTCCTTCTGCTCCCGCACATACTCTTCCTCTGCCTTGCGCATCTCCTCCTCAAAATCTATTATGGGTGCATCAGGTATGGGCACGGGATTCCATGGGCTGTACAGCTTCCTGGATGGTGGCGGCGCCATTTTTGTTGTGTGTTGGCACTACAACAGGGCAACAGGGAATTACAAATAATAAACGCATAAAATATAATAATCGGCAATCGAATTTACCTTAAGCAAATGTATATCAAGAAAATAATATATAAATTTTGTTGTTGCTACTTTGGAATTTAGTTTTGTAATGAAAATAATAATAATAAATATATTCAAGGCGAATATTCATTCGCCCCGAGTACTTGATGCTTTGTTTTCGAATGTTGCGAGGGCTGAAAGGCAAAATGCCAGTCAAACGCAATCGAATAAAACGTAGTTGGAATGAAACGTATGGAAATGGAACGTCATGGAATGAAACGTAATGGAATTAAACCGTATGGAATGGAACGTAGTGGAATGTAAAGTAAAAGAATGAAACGTAGTGGATTTTAAAGTATTGGAATGAAACGTAGTGAAATAGAACGTTATGGAATGGAACGTAATGAAATGTAACGTAGTGGAACGTCATGCAATGAAACCCTTTTTTTTTAACGTTCGCTGCTTCTAGTTCCAGCGAAATGAAGAAATGAAAATCGCATTACAGGAACCAAAAAAAAAAAAACCTAATCGAGAGTAAAGCGAATGCTGGATTTTGGGGCGCATGGCATGGCATGGCATCATCCGTTCTGCGTCCGTGCCACCGGGCAGGCGGGGCGCGGCATGTGCTTCATGTGTCCCCAAAGTCGCGGTGACAAGTGTTTTTTTTTCTCCTTATTTCCTTCTCCATTTGCCGAGGGTAATACGAGGTATCTGCAATGCTGTGGGCAGTTTATGGGCATACAAAATACCAAGCAATTTTCTGTTTAGAAGGGGGAACTCTTATACTATCCACATAATCGAATACGAATCGAATAAATATGTCCCGCCGATAGTTTCTAGGGCATTCGATGCTTCGTTTCGCGAATTTTTAAGTATTTTTTTTGCGTTCGTGAACTCTTCGACTGTCTCTTGTTTTCTTTGCTCTGGCGACACTTTGTTTCCTCTGTTGCACAGTTTTTTTTTGGTTTGTTTTTTTTTTCCTTGTGGGGCATGGAGCTGGGGGCATGGTTTATGTTATGGAGAGAGGTGTGTGGTTCCTGCAGCTTAAAGTTTGCGCTGCGTGAAACTTTTTAGTTGGTTTATATTCCACGGGGGTGGCACGATGCTCGTGTGTCAGGGAGGAGGTGGGAGGGCAAATTATGAGATGTCTTTGCTTTTGAATATGTATGGGGACTTCCTCGTCCTATCTCTCTCTCGCGCGCGCTCTCCCTCTCTCTCCCTCCCTCCGTCTCTCTCTGTCTGTGTCGCTGCCTTTATAATTTTCTTCGTTTTACTTTTCTTTGGCGTCTTTAGCCGAGAACTGAGATGTTTGTGCAACCCCCCAAGAAGTTGTTTGCTCAGTTTATTGTTGCCATTGTTACCATGCCACATGCCAGTGCCACACCCCACTGCCACAGCGACTGCTGCTGCTGCACGTGAGAGGTTGCTGATTGGGGAACTGCCTTCCGAATGGTCGAATGGCCTCCCCCCACCCCCCACCCGCTGAGAATCGCATCGCATCGAATCGGCTGCAGTCGAAATGAAGTGCCAATCAGTGTCCTGTGCCCCACACCCTCCACGCAGGTGGTTTGTGAGTCCCCCATGGAGGATTTGGATGGAGCTGAAGCAAACACCTTTATGGCTGACAAGCGAAATTTTCTTTTGCTTTTTCACAACACAAAAAAACCCAGAGAGAGAGAGAAAAACTTGCATAAGTCGCGAGTCATGGCAGCAATCAGTGGAAAAAAGGGAAAGCCTTTCTGCCCACAGGCAGCAGATTTCACAAGAGTTAAGTCTGGGCAAGGGAGCGGACCGTGGCATTAGGGATCGTGTCCAAGGCAACAGTTTACCTTAGAGCTAAGAGATTTAGATGTGAGATCTTAGATCTAACCATGAACAGCATCCAATCGAAGCCACAGCCGCATGTGCCCACGGGTACGCCTCTTTATTCGATCGCTTTGTCCAAAGACTAGACACTTTTTTTTATGTATTTTTTTTTTGCAACTAACAGCTTAGCTTGGCGAGGCTCAGAAAGAACTTTATTTTCGGTCCGAAAAATCCAACAATTAGCCAAGCCCCAAAAATAAAATATGCAACTAAATAAATCAATAAAATAAATAAATAAAATAAATCAATAAAATAAATAAATAAAATAAATAAAATATGCAAATAAATAGTAAAATATTTCCTCGTTTTTAATGTATTTAATTTCTATTATCAACATACGTACATAAATATATATGTACCCCACTGTATACCAAGCATTTATGCAAGCCCCAGTTTCTACCCTTTCACTTCACCCCCCACCACACCCTACCACCCCTCTTAAGGCACCCACTAATGACATTTTTGGGATTATCGCCAAGAAATTTCTGGAAATAAATAGAGCCTCCCCTCAGCCCCTCAGCACCCAGCACAAATGCATATAATAATAATAATAATCACATTAAATTAGAAAATGCTGCACTCATAATTTTTGCTCATTTGTGCCGCCTACTTTTTTGCCGCCCACTTCCTGCCACGCCGCTTTTGGCATAGAAAAAGCTAGAGTCGAAGTGGAAGCGGTGGTGGGCCACGGGCAAGAGAGTGGATGCCAAAAAAGCCAGCGGCCATTGCATGTTTTGGATTTTTGAGTTTATGGCATGGAATGATGGGGGGGGTAGGAGTGGGGTAGTAGGTGAAGAGAGGGAACTGGGGCCATCGGAATATCGAAATATAATTGCAGACAGAAACAGAGGAGAAGGCAAAGAGAATGACAGAGAGAGAGGGAGAGTGAGAGAGAGAGAGTGAGACTTGGCTCCCCAATCTGTGTGTGTGTGTGTGTGTGTGTGTGTCTGTGTGCAAACGGAAATCATCTTTTGGAGCATCGTAAATTGCATCGCATTTGAAAAATTTTGCAAGCAAGAAATTCAAAATGAAATCAAAATGCAATCAAATTTATGCACAACAATATTTTTGGAACCAACCCCCCAGCCACCCCACACTTTTGCCCACTCTTTTTTTTTTTGTCTGTTGGAGAATGGAAATGCATTTCGTATTTTGCCAGAAAACTGCAATAAAGAAGAATTTTCCTTTGGTTTCGTTTGCAGCAGGGGCAAAAGGCATCCGTCGGGTGTGCATTCTCATTGGTATTACAGTTAAATTTTGTGTGCTTCGATTTGAATACAATGTTGAGCATCATTGAATGGGTTTTCACTGTCAGTAGATTTTTGGCAATCCAAATCCAACAAAAATCAAGCACAAAGCACTCGGGGCGAATGACTTTGTACTTACGACTATAACAACACAAAATATATATTCTCTGTACGAGCAACAACAAAACAAAACAAAATATAATATTTTTAACGCCAAGTGCTTCTTGCAATATATTTTCTAAAAGGTATGCCGTGGTTTATTGATTAAAGTTCATTATTTATTTGTTGATAAATTTATTCTGTGGTAGTGCTTCAAGATGAGCGGAATGCGGCCATTCCCATGGAACAATCGCTGCCCCATACCTGATTGTGAAATAGAGTTCGAGGAGTTGGAGCAGTGGAAGGAGGAGGAGGAGGAGCAGCAGCAGCAGGTAGAGATGGAAGAGCTGGAGGAGGAGTTGCAAGAGGAGTTGCAAGAGGAGTTGGAAGGTGAAGACGAAGACGAGAATCACTTTCCTCGCTTCCCACACGCCTATCGCTAATAAAAGTTCCACAAATAATTAGGAGACCCACACAGCAGAGCATATCCCTCACAAATATGACACTACACAAACAGCCTTGTGATTCGTAGGAGCAATACAAAAAACAAATTAAATAAATAAATTAATGGAATAAATAAATGAATATTATTGAATATTATTCTTTTATTTATTATTTATTTATTTGTAATTTATAAATAAATTTTTATATTATTATTATTTATTTATATTTATTTATTTATTATATTATTTTTTATTAATATTTACTTAATTATTTATAAATTATATCTAATTATTTATTATTTTTTATTAATTATTTATTTATTTTTTATTTATTATTTATTTATTATTATTTATTTATTAATATTTATGTTGTATTTATTATTTATTTATTGTTTAATATTATATTTATTTTTTTTATTATTTATTTATATTGTTTATAAATTATTTATTATTTATTTATTTATTATTTATTATTATTTCTTTTGCATTTTTCTTTCACGCATTTGGAGGGCTTGTGTGTACCCCAGCTTAAGTTTATTTTGCTGTGTGGAACCTTATTAACAATTTGCATGCCGCACTCTCTGCACTTGCATGCCACATCTCTGTGGCATGTCCTCTGTGCCCTGTCGCTCTGACATGCCCCAAGCTGTGTCGCCCCTGCCATTTCTACATCCCTGCCATTTCGACTGTTTATTTGTTTTCATTCGTATTTTTCGTATCGCTTTTGTTTTATGCATGTCGTCGCGCATCGCTTTCCCAAAACAACTCCAAGAACAAAACAAAACAAAAACCCAAAAGAGAAGCTCAAGAAAACTTCAGCAAAAAGTCACATCCGGCACTTGCAGCAACACTTACGCATGAAGCAGCCACAACCGCCTCCCCTCCCCACCCATTGAGTGGTTGATTTTTCCATTGCCACCATTGCTATGCGGTGACAGCGAGCACAGCCGCAGAAATTACAACGATGAAAAGTTGAAAAAGGAGGCAAAAATAAAGTAGAGGCGGGAGCAGGGCTGCCACACAGCACAGAGAGCACAGCGGAAGCAGCAGGGTTGTCATTTAGGCTAAAAAAAAGTAAACCCAATTGTTAGTTTTAATGGGAATTTATTGGGTAAATATTTGACAAAGGCACAAGCGAAATGCCCACTGGCTTTTGTGCCTTGTGTGACTTGTCGAACATTTGTCGTGTTGTCCGGCGTTTGCTTGACTTAAGATTAAAAGTTTTGCTGTCCATTCCAGCCCCTATATCGACACACTATGGTCACCAACAGCGCCCCAGCACCCTCCATTTAGCTTTGCTTTTAATTTATTTTGAATTTTCTTCGTTTATTTTTTTTTTTTGTTGTTAAACTTTTTATTAGCCACGGACTCTGGCTCTTAAATATTTTCCACTATATTTGTGGTGGGGCATCTACTGCTCTTTATGATTTATGCTCCACTAAGTAGCCAAAGCAGAGAACATCATCCGACATCAGCATGACAGAGCATTTGTTATGCATCTTTTAATTTGGTCAATAAATGTCCTTCCTTCGCGCCTATCAAGTGGAGTGGGAGTGGGCTGAGAGGCTAAAACTTTCAGGCAGAACTTTGATTAGCCCAAAAAAGCGGATGGGGCACAGCATCGGGGCGGGCACATGGCCGTTAGGGCCAATTTGCTTGAACACGTTCACTCATTAGTTTCTCCCCTTTCGGCCCTGTTTCTGCTCTTTCTGCCGCTTTAAAGTCAAGGGGCATTGGCGGCCTGAAAGATTGGCCTTGTCAAACAATGGCCTTGGGGGGCGGACATTAGACCATTGTTGGCCGGGGCTGGGGACTGGAACTGGGGCTGGGAATCCTGCGACTGGCAATGAGCTACGGCTACGGCAACCGGTTATGAGTCCTGCGCATAGCAAATGCTGTCCTGCCACTGGGCATTATCTCTGGCATGGAGTCCTGCTAATCAACCTTAATCAAGCAGTTGCTGCTTTTGTTTGTGGATTTTCCCATGCCCCAAACCCATAATTGTCAGTGATAAATTTCATGAAAATGTCAGCCCTTTCGCAGCAGCACATCCATCATGGCATATTTGTTCTTCTCTTCCGGAAAACCCCTCCACAAATTTAGCATTCAAAATATTTTAATAAATCAATTAATAATTTTTTATTTTGTTATTTTTGAATACTCGCATGTAAATCTGTCTCAACTATTTAATGTTGAGTTTTACTGATTTAAAATAAATTCATTTTCTGCATATTTTGAGTATTTTTCGATGCCATTGGCTGGCCATATTTCATTCGAAAATACTTGAATGGCTTTTATTCAATGATAAATATTTTCTATCAAGCAAAGAGTCGTAGAATATTCTCAGCTCAGCGAAAATATTGAGTGTAAATATATAGAAAATTTTAGAATGCTGGCTTTATGAGGCTTGACTCTCCAATAATACTAATAATAATAAAAATAATAATAATAATAATACTAATATAATAATACTAATAATAATAATAATAATAATTCTAATGATAATAATAATAATACTTATAATAATAATATAATAATACTAAATATTATAATAATAATAATACTAATAATAATACTAATAATATAATAGATAATAATAATATTAATAATAAAAATATAATAATTCTAATAATAATATTAATAATAAAAATATAATAATACTAATAATAATACTAATAATAATACTAATATTAAAAAACAATTCTTTTTTGAACATTTCTCTAAATTTACCAATTCTGAAACCTTAACCGTTTCATAACCGTTGGATAACGGTTTCAAAATAATTTTGCTGAAGCTTTATTAGCACTTCAAATATATTCATAACCATTTTATTTCGAAACCATTCCAAACAGATTTCCAAACATTTTCCACTTAACCGTTTTAAAAGCCGAATCCAAAACAGGCTCGCCGCTTAGCCGTTTCGTAATTGTCGCCAAGAGCCATTCGGAAAAGGCCAACAAAAATATTTACCGCTTAAACGTTTCTTAACCGTTTCGTAACCGTTTCGAAAAAAAAGCAAAACGTTCAAAAGGAGTTGCCCCCTCCCTCCCTCACTCTCTCTCTCTCTCGCTATCGAAATTATCTGCTCAACTACCTGGAGTGGGGTGGCTGGTGGGGCGAATGGCATTCCCTAAGCAACAGCCACGCCTTTCAGCCACCTGCCGCCTTCCGCCTACCGCCTGCCGCATGCCTCACGGTCATTTTCTTCAGACTGTTGTTCAATTATTTTACAATCAAGTTTCGGGCTAAAGAAAGCAGCAAAATAACAAAAAAAAACACACACACAAAAAAAACACACATCAATAGGTATCGTCCTTGTGGCACCTTTGCCACCTCCCTTTGGGACTTTTGAGAGTCTCATTGTTGCCTCCTCCCGCTGCTGCTGCTGCTGCAGCCAGGTAGGGACTTTCTTTTGGGGATTTCTTATGCCTGCACAACGATGCTGATTATATCGAGAGAGGAGCTCCACCAGGCACTGTCTCCAGTTGGGTGTGGCATGGTAGCTGGGGTCTCCGATCTCTTCCTTACAGCTGCTCCCCCCTTCCCCCTCGCACATTGGCATTTGTTCCACTTATTCCACTTGAACGCTTCGTTAAGAGCAAACTTTCGCCTCAAATGTTTTTGCAGCGACTCCTCTGCGTCTCAGGAGGTACACACTGCACACTGCTTACCACCTGCTCTACTGCTCCCCCCGCCATCAGTTGCTCCTGCTACTGTGTAGGGGGTGGGGGGGTGGAGTGTAGTGATGGGTGGCTGCTCCTGTCTATGTCCTGTCCTCTGGTATGTTGTTCTTGAAAACTTGTGCCCTGGCAATTGTCGTTGTCGGTTGTCGTCGACAAGGACACAGACACAGGACACACGGACACGGGACACAGGACACGTTCCACGTGAAGCCTATCAAGTGTAAGCACAGGACGCACAGGACAGCAAAGGACAGCACAGGACACAGCAAAGGACAGCACAGGACACAGAAGAGCACAGCACAGGGTGAGCTGCTGGCACTCTATCGGAATGACAACGAGCCGGGGAGACCACTCTGCGACGACCTTGCCTCATGGCTCGTGGGTGATGTCGATTGGGTGGGGGGTTTGTGGGGGGTGGGGGGTGGGGGGCTGGTGGCTCTCCGTACGTGTTTCGCTTAAGTCAAAGTCTTTCGCCCGCTTAGATTAGCCAGCAACTCGGTGGGTTGTGGGGGGTTGTGGGGGTGTGGTGGGTGGTGGGGTAGCAGCGAGTGGATTTGCCAGCAGCCAAGACATTGACAAAAGTTTACACAAGCAACAACAACAACAACAGCAACAGAGCAACCAAAGATGAAAGAAAGAAAGAAAAGAAAAGGAAAAGAAAGGAAAATAAAGAAAAGCAAATGTCTTTGGGCGACAAACGGAAATCACCTGCAAGGAGTCGGCGGCCCAATCGCCCCGTCGCCCAGTCGCCCAGTCGCCAGTGTCGCCTACAGCTGCCACCTGATCCACAGCTCTACATCGCCGCCTGCTGCTCGCCACACTCTCTCCTTCCATCTATCCCTCTCTCTCCCACTCCCTCCCACTCTCTCCACACTCTCTCCCTCTCTCTCCACTCTCTCCCTCCCTCTCACCACTCTCTGCACACTCTCTCCCTCTCTCTCTGACTTTCTTCTTTCAGCATTTAAGGGGGCGGCAAATGCAACAAATGCCCCACCCCAAAGCTGTGCTCAACTTTTATGACAGTTTTCATTTGCTCCTTCTGTTAGTCTCCCAATTCTCCCTCCACCCTCCACCCTACTCCCACTTCCACTCCCACTTTCTTTCATTGTTGTTTGTGGGGGTTTTTGCTTTCTCGTGTTTTTTGGGCATTCTTGTGGTTTGTTTTTTGGGCGGTTTCTAGTTTCATTTACAGCGGCGGGGCCAGGGCCAGGGCCAGCCACATTTATGTTTAAACAATTTTTGTGCGCTGTGCAAATGCTTTATGACAACATTTGCCTTTGAGGCCGACGCCGACGCCGACAGACGAACGAGACGAACCTGCTGCACAGGAGCTGCCTCAGTTCCTGCTCTAAGTTGAATCCATTTAGGATTTGGAGCAGCTCCCAGCACTCGCTCTCCCCCCCTGTCTTGCGCTTTCTCTGTGATGTACAACTGTCGCTGACAGAATTGTCGTGTAATTTATGATTTAT